TTAATTTACACTGTATGTTAACCGGAACTCAAATAAAAACTTTAATTTTTTTTTTTCAAAGTTTATTTATTTTTGGGACAGAGAGAGACAGAGCATGAACGGGGGAGGGGCAGAGAGAGAGGGAGACACAGAATCGGAAACAGGCTCCAGGCTCTGAGCCATCAGCCCAGAGCCTGACGCGGGGCTCGAACTCACAGACCGCGAGATCGTGACCTGGTTGAAGTCGGACGCTTAACCGACAGCGCCACCCGGGCGCCCCAACCATTGGACTTTCAAAAACTAATGTTTCTTAGTGCTTTAAAATTTTTTTAATGTTTTATTTATTTTTGAGAGAGAGTGAGTGAGCAGGGTAGGGACCGAGAGAGGGGGAACAGAGGATCTGAAGCAGGCTCTGTGCTGACAGTAGTGAGCCCGACGTGGGGCTTGAACTCATGAACTGTGAGATCACGACCTGAGCCGAAGTCAGATGTTCAACTGACTGAGCCACCCAGGTGCCCCTGAAATTTTTTAATGTTTATTTTTGAGAGAGAGAGGCAGAGTGCGAGTGTGGGGGGGGGGGGGCAGAGAGAGAGGGAAACAGAATCTGAAACAGGCTCCAGGCTCTGAGCTGTCAGCACAGAGCCTGACATGGGGCTTGAACTCACGAACCATGAGATCACGATTTGAGCCAAAGTCGGATGCTTAACTGATTGAGCCACCCAGGTGCTTCTCTTAGTGCTTTTTAAAATGAAATCAATTAAAAATTTTAATTTAGAACCAAATTGCCAGTAACTCAATTACTGGATAAACCAAAGTACCTTCCGTTATCTTGGTCATATCAAAGAAAAAGAAGAAATTATTTTTATAACTCACATGATGAATGACTTTAAGGACATAAACAATATAGGAAATAATTTTCCCTTTTGGAACTTCTTTTTTGAGTTAATTTTTATTTTTTTATTGTTATTTTTAAAGTTTTTATTTGAGGGGCGCCTGGGTGGCGCAGTCGGTTAAGTGTCCGACTTCAGCCAGGTCACGATCTCGCGGTCCGTGAGTTCGAGCCCCGCGCCGGGCTCTGGGCTGATGGCTCAGAGCCTGGAGCCTGTTTCCGATTCTGTGTCTCCCTCTCTCTCTGCCCCTCCCCCGTTCATGCTCTGTCTTTCTCTGTCCCAAAAATAAATAAAAAACGTTGAAAAAAAAAAATTAAAGTTTTTATTTGAGTTCCGGTTAACATACAGTGTAAATTAATTTCAGGTGTACAATTTAGTGATTCAGCACTTAGGTCCAACACCGGGTGAGTGTTCATCACAAGTGCACTCCTTAATCCCCATTACCTATTTGAGCCATTCCCCCCACCCACCTCCCTTCTGGTAACCATCCGTTCTCTTCTTGTTCTCTTCATTTTATTTCTTGGGTTACCTTTCTCTTTTCCCCCCTATGCTCATTTGTTTTGTTTCTTAAATACTACATCTGAGTGAAATCATATGATATTTGTTTTTCTCTGGCTGAGTTATTTTGCTTAGCACAATACTCTCTAGCTCTATCCACATCATTGCAAATGGCAAGATTTCATTCTTTTTTATGGCTGAGTGATATTCCACTTTGTGTGTGTGTGTGTGTGCGCGTGCATACACACACACATATATATACCACATCCTTTTTATCCATTCATCAGGGACTTTGATAGACATTTGGGCTGTTTCCATAATTTGGGTACTGTCGATAATGCTGTTATAAACACTGGGGTGTGTGTATCCCTTTGAATTAGTATTTTTATATCCTTTCGGTAAAACCTAGTAGTGTGATTGCTGGATTGTAGGATAGTTCTATTTTGAAGCTTTTGAGGAAACTCCATACTGTTTTGCAGAGTGACTGCACCAGTTTGCTGAAGGAGTTTTTAGTTTAAGCATGGGAATTTAAAAGTGCTTGCTTAGTAAATTAAGGGTCATTAGGTGTATCTCCCTTTGCCTTTGAAATTGCCTTGGCCCTCTGAATCTACCTTCCAGGAGTCTATATCCTGGATTCTTTTTTTATTTTTCTTAATGTTTCTTTATTTGTTTTGAGAGAGAGCACAAGCAGGGGAAGGGTCAGAGAGCGAGAATCCCAAGTAGGCTCCATGTTGTCAATGCGGAGCCTGATGTGAGACTTTATCTCACAAACTGTGAGACCACTACCTGAGCTGAAATTAAGAGTCAGACGCTTAACTAACTGAGCCACCCAGGTGCTCTTGTAGCCTGGATTCTTAATGGACCTCTGCTTTTTGCTCTGTGATCCTAATCTTCCTTAGATTCTTCTTAGTGTGCACACATTTGAGAGCAGTAATTGTGGAAGAAAAGTAATGGCTCCATAGCAGATATTCTGTGGGAGCTTGGGTAGAAAGTTCTTACTGTGGTAATCATCGTAAATGATGATTTACTGAGCATTAGCTCTACGTTGAGCCTTGTGCTTGACACAGAGGGGTTACAGAGGTGATCAAGACAGATTTGGTTTCTTCCCTTACACCCATACTTAGGTTATCTTAATCACTTAATTCTATTGCTTCCTAAAACCTTTGGTCTGGAAGAAAGGGAGAATCAGCATATTGTGCTGGATGGGGAGTTTGCTCTGATTCTGACTTTTGGGAAACCCGAGTCCAGCTTTAAGAATCATGAATTGACTGCCTGAAAACCATCTAGTCTATTTCTCAATCTTTAGTCTTCTTTTTTTGGGTTCTGCCCTTAGGATGAAGCAAAGAATGGAAAGATCATTCGTAATGCCACTGCTCTAGTTAATATATGTGAAAGTGCTTTGAAAGAAGTGAAAGTCTATGTAAATAACAGGGAGTATGTTATTATTAGCACTAGGGAGGAGATAGGAGTATTTCTTGTGACATAAACTGATACTTAGCATGCCTTTTTTTTTTTTTTTAACATTTATTTTTTGAGAGACAGAGTATGAGCAGGGGAGGGGCAGAGAGAGAGAGGGAGAAACAGAATTCGAAACAGGCTGCAGGCTCTGAGCTGTCAGCACAGAGCCTGATGTGGGGCTCGAACTCACAAACCGTGAGATCATGACCTGCACTGGAGTCAAACGCTTAACCAACTGAGCCACCCAGACACCCCTAGCATGCCTTTTTAATGAGTGGTCAGATCGTATATAATACTACTACTTCAATTAATATTTGCAGAAGTGCTTTGAAAAAAGTGAAAAACCATGCAGGTACAAGGGAATGGTTTTATTATCACTGTTAATACCTGGAGAGAAGGTATTGAGTTGAATTTAGTTTATGGAA